AATCATGTCGTAGGATGAAAGATCCGAATCGACACGAGTGACTGGTTGTATACGTAGATTTTTATACGAGCATAGTGACCATGGATATTTATTATATCCGTGACTAGTAACATTTCTTTTTTTCTGTGCTATTTAGATCAGGATAGATTTTCTTGCACGTTGCATTTTTAAGAAATAATATTTATAGTTAATATAATATTTAATTACTAGAATGAATGATATAAATAATTAATTCAATTCTATAATTGAAAATACTTTAGCATCTTTTTAATAATTGTAATATTTAAATATCCAATATTACGTGCAAGAAAATATTTCGCGACAGGTAGATTTCTAAATCAGAGCAAAAAGTTTTGAATATTGATTTTATAATTTCGAAAATGTGCTTTGATGAAGAGATCGCCTGAGGTTATTTTCATTAATATTCCATTTAAAGTCAATTATTTGTTATCACAAATTATCATATATAAATTTATTATTTATTGTTAATATATTTTTCTTTTCTAAATTTAATAATAGTTTATTAAATTTGTAAAGTGAATTTATTAAAGTTTAAAATAAGATCTAGAATTAAAGAATATTAGCTCGTTAGATACAAAATATTTAATCCATTTTTTTAACTCAGGATTTCCAGGTTTAACCCTTTCCATGTCCATTGCCAGGATCTCATTCACGTGCTCAGGTGCTACTTGGATGGGAGAGAGGCGATGGGCATGACGACAATATTTCATAAGTTTATAATAATTTTTCAGCGACTGACGATGCGTTGTGTATCGTGCACGACGTATTTTCCACATTGTGTATGTGTGGTTAGGCTGTGGAATTGCGTCGTTTTGTCTATTTATAATTCTTTCCAATTACTAAAATGCTATCAAATTTCATTAAATTATTCTAATAATTTAATCACTTTAAAAAATCTTATCTTTTCATTGGTAAATATTCATAATTACAATTAAGATTAATTTTTATCGCGATTTACGCAATGATCACACAGCAATCGTCAGTCGATTTCAGGAAAATGGGTACGTACAGTTAGAGTGTGAATGTAGCGTGCCAAGCTCGGGTGTCGGAGGCGTCCCGGGACGCTTTCCCTAGTGTAGGCATTTTGCGCCCGAGCATTATGCGTGAGAATCGTAGAATGAATGTGTTGGTACGCCTGTTTTGCCACTTTTTAAATATAGGCCTAGGTAGGAGTACACAAGTAATACACTTCTGGTATGCCTGTTAATTGTAAGTAGGTAGGGCCGGGCAAGTTGTCACAGTCTCTGACCGGGTAGACGCGTTATTCGCGTGACAATTTGTTTAAAAAAAATCGAAAAATCGTATTTGGCTTTGCTCGTCGATTTTTCGAATTTTCATGGTCGACGAAATAAATTTCGAAACGAACGTCGAGCTCGAGATTTTACACGGACAACTGCAATCAGTTTCCGTGATTTAGTCTTCTCTTTATTTGCGAATATAGGGAATTTCGAGCCTAGTTATAAGTTTTTCAGCGGGCATTGCGCCCGAAGGAGGAAGACCGAAGAGGCCCGACAAACTGTCACGAAGAGGGCTGCAACGAATGGCTTCTCATTTTTTGGATCTGTTTTTTTGGGTCCAAAGGATGGGAAGTTATTACTTTGTCACTATGCTCGTTTTAAAATACGTAGTAATTGTTGTTGTGTTGTCTGGCCGATTGCATGCCGGCCCATCGTTCAAAATCCAGTCATCATGGGCATCGCGATTTTTTATTAGTGTTGCGATTGATTAATAACGAGTCGCGTTTTAATTTTCGCGTTTCTTTGTTGCGTTAGTAGTAAAAATCGCATTTATATATGGTGTTGCGTTAAAATGAGAATCGGGTTTGTATTAATGTCGCGAATTGTAAGATATCGGATTTTTTTTTTTTCTTATAAATTATTATATATAGTTTCTTATGAAATTGTAAATTAAAAATTTGTATCATTTATTATTAAATTCTTTCTTTAACAATAGCTTTTTATAGATGTATCGAAATAATAATTTCTATTGAGTTTGTTTTAAAATGTAGTGTTGCGTTGATAAATAATTTGCGTTTGTTCAAGTAGTGTTGCGAATATTGAATGCCCAAATTTCTTCCATTGAAATTGTGGAAGTATTCACAATTCCTGAATCATCTTAAGTGGCTAAAAGATGAATTTTGGAATTTTATTAATTCATTGTTTATTTATTAGTTCATTTGTTTCAGGTTTATTTAAGGTGAGTGGAATTGGTATGAAATCAATAAAATATTTTTATATTTCATATAACAGTTCAATTTTATTGAGAATTTATTCTAGATAAGATTGTCTATGCCATCTCTTGAGCATCAAAGATATTTTTTCGAACATTTGTCTGTCGATATTCAATTCCTATTCTACTTTACCATGTCGAAGATATGGTAAGAATAAAGAGATATCTTTATTCTTCGAGAGATGGCGCTGACGATCAATTCTTTTATATCTCTATCCTTGTTCCATATTTGTTCTCCTTTTTTTATGCGTTTCATTTATCTTCTTCAGCAAATGGCGCTGATTCTAATATTTTCATTCTATTGCTTATCTTTTTTCCATTATTTACTTTTGTTGTTTATATTTACTCTTTGTAAGTGATCATAGACAATAATCAAAATATCAGCTGAATAAATTTAAAAATTTTCATTTAATTTTAATTGATAACGAGTTGTTTATCTTCTCTTATCTTATTTTTTGTAAGTTCCTATTTTTTTCCTATATTTTTATCCTATAATAATCCGTAATGAATGAAAGTATTATCTCGTGACAGATAAACGATCATTGACATTAAACTGTCAATTTACTTTCGTTTTATATTTTTATTAGTAAATAAATATTAACTGTTCACGAAATTTTATTATTAATTATAATCAATTTATCATATTCTTATCAATATTCTTTGAAAATATTTTTCTCTTCCGTCTCGGAATATATTTACACGTTATTTATATATATTTCGATAATATATAATATAAACGAAAAATGAGAGGAAGAAAAGGAGGAATCTATATTTTCTTCATTTCTGTGTTCCTTTTATATATCCTCAGTTTATATTTCAATTTTAAATATGTACATGATGAATCACATATATACATATGTTTTGTAACGAGTACGAATATCATAATGATTTACCATGACAGAAATTTCATGCTGTCAATTGATAAATTATTTTAATATAATAAAAGTACTCTTTTGGGTACAAATGACTTCGCTTTTTGTTTTCATATATACGTTATAATAGAAAAAAATCCTGTTTTATCTTCCAAACTGTAAAGGTTTGTACACTTATGAAAAAATTTTGAAAATTTTAAAAGGCAATTAAACGGACTGTTGCAATATTTATTTTTGGATCTTGATACAAATATTACGATCGTAGATCTTTTTAAAGGACACTGTAAAAAAAAAAAAAAAAAAGCGAAGAAACTGCCAATAAAGATAAGAACGGAAATAGAATATATACAGAACTTTGGCCATTATTAATTTTGAGTTTATATGCACGTCATCATCGTAGACCACCTTTAAAGACCGTTATTCATCTTTTCATTATATAGTTTTTAATCTCCTGCATAGGTATATCGAAGATCAAAGTAAGAACGATCGACGACAACGTAACCAAAACTATTTGCGTAAAATTAAGCTGAAACATTGAATTCATTGTTAAACAATAAATCGGAGGGATAAAAATTTTGACGAAATGGAATAAAATGATCTCCTACGTACTAATTTAAATAGATAAAAAACTTCCGGATATCTGGTGGTGCCAACCTCGTAGAAAAAAAATAAAAATTGGATTAAATACCACGAGTACGATATCTTGCTGAAGACAACGAACCAATGATGAGAAAGGAATTTGTTTATTACGCCTGAAACAATAAACAAATAAGAATTCGTTCTTAATTAATTTTATCCCCCCCCTCCCCTCTCGATTCATTCTATCGTTTCAAAGAATAAAAATTATACCTCCGTTATTCGTGTAGCAGGCGAATATCACCCAACACTGGGCCAACGCCCACAAGATTTGACCGATCACGACGAAATTGGTCAGCGATATTATGTCGAACACGTAATTCTTCCTCGTGATATTGTATTGCGAGAACAACAACCATATTATAATCATCGTCGAGATCGACCATCCCAGATTCACCACGATCTGAAAAAAGATATTTTACTTTTCGAAATTTTTTTTGAATAGAAAGAAACAACTAGTCTCGAAATTCACACATTGAGGATAAATACCTTGGGAATCTTATCGTTTTTTCCAACGCGGTGCAACAGGACGCTAAGAACCACGCCGAATATGTACGGCGTGATTCTGTAAAACGGAATGATGTACATCAGATTGCTCATAATATAAAATTCCTCCACTCTAAAATCGAATTAGAAATGAATCGAGTATTTTTTTTTTTTTCTGCTTCTTCTTCGAAATGTAATCGAGGAACACTTACGAGAACCCGTGATGAAAGATTATGGTAACGTTGTTTCTTAGCAGTATTATGTAACGAAATATCATCGACAACGAAGCGATGAATAACACGAGAAATATCCCAAACGTTGACCAGAATTTTAAGACGAATATCAGTGCAGGAGCCAACAGTGACAACTGCATGTCCACGGACAATTGATACGTATGGGAGGCGCACTGTCGAGAAATATTTACCCAATGAAATGCATATATATATTTATCCTATATATAATATAATATCTTCTATATATATATATGCATATATATCCTATATATAATATAATATCTTCTATATATATATGCATATATATCCTATATATAATATATTTTATATATATATATATATTTATATATAGGATATTATATTTATATTTGTTTTTATTTATTATATATATATACATTATTATATATATATATATTATATCCTATATATAATATACTATCATATATATATAGGATATATTTATATTTATATTTATGTTTATATTTATTTATATTTATATTATATTTATATTTATTTTTATTTATTATATATATATATATACATTATTATATATATATATATTATATCCTATATATAATATACTATCATATATATATAGGATATATTTATATTTATATTTATGTTTATATTTATTTATATTTATATTATATTTATATTTATTTTTATTTATTATATATATATATATACATTATTATATATATATATATTATATCCTATATATAATATACTATCATATATATATAGGATATATTTATATTTATATTTATGTTTATATTTATTTATATTTATATTATATTTATATTTATTTTTATTTATTATATATATATATATACATTATTATATATATATATATTATATCCTATATATAATATACTATCATATATATATAGGATATATTTATATTTATATTTATGTTTATATTTATTTATATTTATATTATATTTATATTTATTTTTATTTATTATATATATATATATACATTATTATATATATATATATTATATCCTATATATAATATACTATCATATATATATAGGATATATTTATATTTATATTTATGTTTATATTTATTTATATTTATATTATATTTATATTTATTTTTATTTATTATATATATATATTAAGACGGATGTCAATTCAGGAAGCGCACTGTCGAGAAATATTTATCCAATGAAATGTATATATATATCCTATATATCTTGTATATATATATATATATATCCTACATATCCTATATATATATATTCTATATATACGTATATATATATTCTATACATCCTATATATATATATATATAGGATATGATATTTATATTTATATTTATATTTATTTATTATATATATATATGAATTTGTAAATCAAAATTTTTCACCTGATCCTCGAAGGGTAAGGCGATTTGTGCGTACAAGAGATTCATCCAACCGGTATTTTTGCAAAGATCAGCATTTTTCACGATGATGTTCCACTCAGGGCCCGACCCACTGTGCTCCATCACGTACGCGTAATAGAGCACGACTGCCAACAACATCGGGGTAAGCCTAAGAAACTCTTCTTTTTCAATTTTCGTCAATTTCAAAATTCGCTTCGTAAAATTCAACGATCCTCGTTCGCTTACCTTACGTATCTGGAAACAAGCCGCCTGAACCATCGAATTTCACCTCTCACGTTCAACTCGTGCATCATGTTAAAGGATGTTAACGTGCCGCTGAACAATAAGAACGAGTCCGTGTACATAGTCGCTATTCTAAGGGTGATCGTCAAGGGATGGCTCGCCATCTTGAACGTAAATTTAATCGGATATATAGAAATCAATCGATCCAAGTATTAATTGTATCAATCGCCCCACGTGAATATCGTTCTCCACTATCCACCAGTCATCGAACAATTTTTCGTTGAAAAACGTCAAATGAATCGTCGTCCTTTGCTTTCTCTCTCTATCATTTATTTATTTATTTTCATTTAAATGAAAAAATAATTATCGTTCTTTCTTCTCCCTCTCTCTCTTTCATTTATTTATTTATTTAAATGAAAAAATAAATCGTCGTTTTCTCTCTCTCTCTCTCTCTCTCTATCATTTATTTATTTATTTTCATTTAAATGAAAAAATGAATCGTCATTCTCTCTCTCTCTCTCTCTCTCTCTCTATTATTTATTTATTTATTTTCATTTAAATGAAAAAATAATTATCGTTCTTTCTTCTCTCTCTCTCTTTCTATCTCTCTCTTTCATTTATTTATTTATTTTCATTTAAATGAAAAAATAATTATTGTATTCTT